GCATCATCGTTTCCAGAGTAGGACCGTGGACGTGGTACATTCCCAGACGTTTCGCCGGCATGGTAGTCGGCATCGTCAGTGAGTATCGCCATTCTTAGCACCACACAACAACTCGTCAAAGAGATGGACTGATGAACAATGGTTTTGAGATCATAGGTTTTATCTTTAATGCCTTCTTTCCGAGAAGGTTCGGGGTCTAGGTCAGGTACTTATGCGGCTCTACGCTGATGTGGTAGTGTCTATGTGGAGGCGAGCTGTCGACTTAACAAAAAACCCTCTGCCTAGGTTTGTGGGTCCAGAGATAAAAAGTAGCCCAGTATATAGCAAATGCAGGACTACAGGTAAACTAGTCTAAAACCAAACGCTTTCCAGAATATGGAGACTTCACAGCTAATAAAAGGATGAGGATGCAAACAATACCTTGAAAAGGATGAAAGAGTGTAAGAAATTAGGCACTGGCCAATTTATATCTTTAGAGAGCAGGATTAATCAATTATCAAGAGAAGGCCTGATTCCGCTAAAGCATCTTTTGAGCTGTAACATCTAAATTTGTCCTTTAATATAGCATAAATAACGCGAATACAGCAATACGATTAAGCATGCTTTAATATTGCAGGATAAAGAGCTGCTTTATTTATCCAAGGAGACAGTTGTGACTACATCCATATTCCCTTCATATACCCTTATAAACAAGCATCTAAAGTAAGCAGGAAGAAGACATGAGGTGCCCATTAAGATCGAGAAATTCGGAATAAGTAATACGATTGCATCCAGTCGCCCTACCTTATTTATTATTATGGTTTTGGGCCCTTACCATCATAGACAAAATCTCAGCACGCATCATTAAGGCCACAAAATGCTGCACATAAGAATCATTCCCAAAATCAAACAGCCACAACTCCAAGGCAATCTTCCTTAGTTTTCAGGTGAGGCCAAGTTACGAACCCTTTAAATTAACTTTTCCTTCTAAATGAAAATCTGATGATATTAAGAGCTCAACCTACTTTTGACGCATCCGAAGAAGGATATCTTAAGGATTGCTTAATCATTAATGTCTCAGTAAACAAATGGAATTCTTCCACCGTACCCTTGAAAGGTAGACCTAAAATATCATCGTATATTTTTACACAAAATGAAATGCGATTATTAGAACAAAATTTGATCAAAATTAAAAAATAGACATTAACGACCTATATATATATAATTATATGTTACCAAAACAAAGAAAGGATTAAAGCGACTTACCGGTTGAGCCAGCAAGTGATGTTATTGAGAGATAATTGTTCGAGTTAGGAGTCTGGTTTTGATTTTGTGAAGGAAGAGGATGGTGGTGGTGGAGCGTAACGGGATGGTGAGTAGTAGTATGCTGTTCGCCACTATAAGCTTTCCAGTAATCATCTGTACTTAAAGAAAAGAGAGCCGTTTCAGTAGAGCGAATGTATGCAGAATGATTAAGCTGATGCTGCGCGTAGTGGAGCTGAGGATGATGGTTATGATGCAAAGAAACTAAGGATAGAGAGCCTTGGAAGCCAGAGTCCGGTGTGGAAGCTGAGTGGGAATGCGAGAACAGGCTAGATCGATGGGTCTCTGAAGTTCCGATAGAGTGTTCATAGTCAATTATCTCTGGCAAGTTCAGTGGGACTAGAGATTCAGGTAAGGGACGTATATTAGCATGGTGTTGATGCTGCACTTGAGAATGTAAGTGATGCGATTGAGAGGAGTGGAATTGAGAATTTGAAGATGTCATAATACTAGATGAGGAAACACCTAAGTGCGTTGATTGAGAATGAGATGGAGGAGAAAGAAAAGAGGATGAGGAATAGCATGGCTGATAGGAAACTGAGCAATGATAATTGCTGTTTGCAATGGCGGATGCAGCCAAGGAGGAGGAAGCTTGAAGAGCTCTGTGGAAAAGAAAAAAAACAACAGAATAGCTAGATGTTTAAAAGTGTAAGTGAGGATATGAGAACGACAGAGATAATAAGCATGCTTAATGATTAAAATTCTTGAAATAATACGAACCAAATAATTACAGTCTTTTTCAATTACAGCAGAAAGATTTAAATAAATAAT